ATAAAAATACACACACATATATATATATATATATATATATATATATATCACATTTATTTTTAATAAAATTGATACCCTGATATAAAATTAATTATATCAAAGCCTGAAAATTCGATAATTAAATGACATTTCATGCTTTATAGAATTCCCTGCCTTTTGATATTTCAGATTAATTTATATATATTTGACATTATTTTAATTCATTTACATTAATTCATTTCAGAAATATCTTCTAGCTGATACAAATGAAAAACTGCGATACTTCGTCGTTGTCGATAATTAATCAAGAGCTGTGGGAAAATAGCGTCGGTTTTAGCGACATTGAAACGATTCCATTTCGCATTCCCGCGAAGCTCGCCGTGGCGAGAATCATCATCGGGAGTTATGATTAAGACCCGACATGGTGGCACGATCGATCGAATGCATATATCCGTGCGCGGAGTCCGACGGTAACCGCTGAACGAATAGCTGAAAAGCCGAGATCTCAATTACGATGATCGCAATGAAATATCGCGAGCGAGATTTTTAAGAGCGGTGCGGCGCGGCGATGCGCGCAAGATAAATTTGGGCCTTGCTTGGGGCGCGTTGCGCGCTTCGTCCGTGGCTGGACCGGTGGTATCCGTTTGATAGCAGATAGCAGGCCGAACGATGCTGGTATGTTCTCATTACGCGTCGTGTAGGTATGCGGCGGCCAGCTCGTGTTCTTCGTACTTCGAAGCCCGTGCGTTCCACGTCCACTCCTCGCATCATCCATTGCGCTTACATTCACGTCTCTCTCTCTCTCTCTCTCTCTCTCTCTCTCTCTCTCTCTCTCTTCTTAGCTTTCTCTTTTTCGTTGGCGAGTCGTCGTGTCTACAAAGTAGAGTTTCCCCGAGTTCCTTCCGCGACTAATGACAAATGCGAAATGATAAAAAAAAAAAAAGAAGAAGAAGAAAAATTATGCGAGGAACGTAGATAATTATCCTAGGAACACCTCGTAATATCGACTTGTGCGTCTTCCCGCTCGAAATTCCACGGTGATTCGACGGATTTCGGAGGAATCCTCACTTGAACTCTCTCGCTGTCTTCCTTGGTACCACCTCCGTCTCTCGTTCTGTCTCCTAGCGAGATGGTGATCTCGATGACGTTGCTGTGGGCATCGCGCTGTTGCAGCCGCACAACGGCGCGCTAGTGATGATGACGGTGGTGGCCATGGTGGCAAAGTGGTGGTGAGACGGTGGTGGTTGCAGCGAGATGGTAGTGGTGGTAAAGATTGTGAGCTTGGTAGTGATGGAATGAATCGGTGAGGTAAGAGGAGAGGGAACTAGTTCAGTGAACAAAACGACGTGAGAGGCAGTTGCACGCTGTAACAACGCTCGAACGTCGTATTCGCGCTACGGATACTCGCATGAGCCCTCGGACGAGAGAAGAGAGCTTTAACCCTGATATTCCCCGTACGTGCGACACACGTATAAAGAGCTCCTTTAATTTTATATTAGGCTGCTGGATACCTTCGAGCGAAGTTTAACGGGTTGCGGTGAAAGAACTCTCGCGACACGCATTGGATTATCGCTACCATGAGCTTCAAGTTTATGCTTCGCAACCATGTTACGAGCCATGCTGAAGACCATGTCTATTGTGCGCGCACGTATATTACGTTTTTGTATATACGC